TTACTCTATTTAATTTGTAAAATATGCACACACACACGTAGAAAAACACATTTAGTATACACATCCAGTAATGCATATACTATTATATATTGTACATATATTTATTAGTCTCAGATTTAGCCATTCTTATATTTTGCTTGTTTTACGTTATTGTATTTTTGAACAATTCTGTTGCTTGTGAAACTCTCACACAAGAATTTCACTCACATGTACTGTACCAGTGTACCTGCACATGTGATGTGACAATAAAAGTGATTTGATTTGATTTCAGACCTGGTGGCGTATTGCTGGAGATCTGAGTAAGTGCAGTTATTTGGATAAGTAGTTGTCTAATTTTCTGACTCAGATTTATGATCTCAGATGTTCACACACTTCCGTCACACTCTTTGTATTGATAAAATAAGAGCACTGTAAATCTCTGTGAACTGGCCTAAATCCATAAGTGTCGGGACAATGACACAATGACCTCCTTCGCTTGCATCAACTTCTCTTTGGACCTTATATTGAGTTCCAGTAAACGGCTCCCAAATTCACTTGGATCAATCCCAGATCTTTTCTGTTTCGTCTGTCCTTGAATAAAAAAGGAAAAGGTGCTGTTTGTCATATAGTTGTCAAATTAGTGTTTGAGCCTCTGAAAATGGGCCATCGTGTATAAAAATGGCTGTAATTCCTAAACATTTAATGGTGTACTTTGTTAAATCAAATTAAAACTGAAAGTCTGCACTTCAATCAAAGATTGAAATGTCATTCATGACATTAGCAAGCTACTGTGACCATAAACTGTATTTTAAAGATGGATGTTGCCATCGTTATATCTGCTTTACCAACCTCATTGTTGGTGTTTTGGAGCCAATAGTGATCTCTGAGCAAGAGGATGGAGTTATCAGCTAATTCTGCAAAGTTTGATTTGCAAGCGAAATGCTGCTAAGCAAGAGAATTATAAAATACTAGAAGTTTTCTCACCAAAAGTGTAGCAAAAAACTTCTTGGATGTGTTGTACAGCATGGCAGCTCCAATGTTTTTGCCAGATAAATCAGTTACAAACGCTCAAAGTGTTCGAGGGGTTTGGTTCTTGAATTTGTGGAGGTGAGTTCAAGTAGACTGTGTCAAACATGGCCTTAATTAGGGAGTCTTACCCTTAATTTCAAGTATCTGACTGGGAGAGTAATAAAACAAATATTACATGCATACCATTATGTGGAAGAACCAGCATGGTTTTTAATGTGATTAGAGTTTTTAACACTGCACATTTGCTCACATTAGTTTTGGTTATTTGCAGGTACTTTGTTCTCTTTATATGTTTTAACTTAGTAAATGCTCTTAGAAACTGGATCCAGAATCCCACTAACAAGGCTGGGATAAACGTACACAGTGAGTTCGGGGGAAAAGCAGATGTAAACATGCAACATAGTTTGGTTTGAGAGTAGATGTCCAATCTGGAGTCCTTGTGTGAAGAATTTGCTTAATATTTGGAACACAACATTAATTTTTATTGTACTCAAGAACTGTAAACTTTACCTGTATAATCAGGCTTCTTTAAGCACAACATTTCAGGTTGGAAACAATATTAGTCTGATTGAGGTTAAAGTTTGTTTACTGAGGTGCTAAGCCTTCTGTGCCTGCATGTTAATGCTTCCTCCTTTACATAAAGAATTTATAAAGACTGAATTGCTTCCTACCAATCGGATGCTATTGTGTACAGCTTCTACATATTGCTCAGACATCGATCTGGATTCATGTGTGAGGAGGGAACCTTTCATCGCTCCTTTTGTCCAGCTTTACACAAACAAGAGAAATGAAGACAATGATCCGTTGAAGGCTGACCTCGTTTCACGCTTCCATTTATTGTTTATGCCAATTGTTACCGACAGCACGGTATTTTACACGTCTCTCTGCAACGCCTGGCAACAGCAGCCCCGGCAACTGTGGCCAAGCAACTATGCCAAGCACTGAGTCACATCCAGCCATGTACACCCTGTGGGGTCTGGGCCACTGGGCTGCATAAACAGGAAGCAGGGGGCTTATGAGGCTTAGAGTGGGAGCCCCGAGGCAGAAAACACTCACATAAATACACACTAAACGTCTATTCCATTTATAATTCAGGGAATGCTGATGTGCGGGCTTTTAAACACTCGTGGTCAATAGCTGCTCATTTGTGTACTTGTTAACAAAATTCAATCTATAAGTACTTTATGAAAGCTTTTGGAATTGTTTTCATGTGAGTTACTTGGAAAACCCTCTGTGGGATTGCTGAGTAAAGCCGGGAAATGAGAATGTGGAAAGTTGATAGCAGGGATACTTGTGGCTGTGGTTGTGCCTGTCGTAGTTGTCATGTAATTTATTGAGTTGTCATGTAATAATATGAGAAACCTGTAATCTGCAGTTCACCTCAAATCTGTGGAGCTTTTTAACGTCTTTCAGCTCGTCGTCGTGGTTCCGTGGCCTGCACTGCTACTTTTTATGATTTAGGCCATGGACCGTACAAAAGATGGACGTAGCTACCCACTGGTTTGTGAACTCCTGTTTAAAAACCCTGAGATGAGTGTCGCCATCTTGGTGTGACGCGTGAGGGTCGATTCTGATGGCGATATCCTGCACAATCCACCTTTTTTGAGTCTCAAGGCCTTCAGGACACGTAAAATCCATGTGAATCTTTCGTGCATTAAAAATGTTTTTCGGACTATTCATAATGCAGCCGCTCACACCAAAAGCATACTCAGAACCAAGCTCGATTCAGCGGTAGAGATTACACAGCGAGATGGAAATAGTAACCTCAGACACAACAAAACAGGATGTTGCTTGATGTTGACATGATTTCCCATTTGGAAAAGATATATATAAATCTTATAAGGTTTTTATCTGTCTTGTATGAAAAGCATACAAGAGTGAAAACACATAAGATCCCTTGAAAAATTATATAATGAAACTTTTATGTTTTGTATACTTACTAAAAAAAAATATGAAAGTAATGAGAAAGTGGCCACTTTCATGAGTAAATCATATGTTTTTATTATTTCTTTTCCATATGGGTTTATTTTTACAGTGCGTTTGGTGTGTGTACACATTACACCACGAGTTCAGATATGGAAGAATCGGCATGTTGTGTCATTTTTTTCATCACACATACGATGTGTAACAGCCTTTAGAATGATCAAAAGTTGCAAAATGGATTGAATGTTTTATTCAGTATAAGTAATTTACTATGTCAATAAACTCACTCTGTAGAAACCAGAATTCTTTTTGCAACCACAGACATCAACCTCTGGTGGAGTTAAAAGAGATGCAGGTTTAAGGCACTTAAGCTTCACTTTAGGATCTGAGAATTAAGTGGATCTTTTATGCCGTCTGTGCTTTATATGGTCAGCAAATCTAGTTACAAAATTATCATGAAGCTGGTAGTTGGTGGAGCCCAAAGCAGAGCCAGAAGAGAGGATATATAAATATATTAACCTAACAGATTATTATGATCATACCTGCACACTCATGTCTTCTTGGCTGTTAAGCAGTGTTGGTCAAGTTACTTGAAAAAAGTAATCAGTAACTAATTACTGATTACTTCCCCAAAAA